CAAATATTCAAATAGTGCACAAGCCCACGAAACAGAGCACAAAAAGAAACGAGTAGTTGTTAGCTGTTTCTACAAAAATGAAGCTGAATGCTTTGGAAAGACTCAATAAGGCAAGTAGCCAAGAAAAAAAAAAAAACTGCTGGCAAATTAGGTGTGGAGGAGACAACTGTAAATGATTAGGGGCAAAAATAATAAAAATTGAGAATCATCTGAACTCGGATTGCTTCGCGAATGTCTTTAAATTCTCACTCCACGTTAAAGAAAACCCAAATGGAAACCTTAGATAATGCTTATGGGTGTGGTCTGTGCAAGGACAATCAAGGGCTCATGCTCAAAGAAAAGTCCTTGGCCCCACATCAAAAAATAGTGAGTGAATGTACATGTGCTTTAAGTTAAAAATAAACTGTTAAAGGTGTGTATCATTTGTATGATTTTCTGCTTTAACCTGCTTTTGTAATTAACAATCCTCATCAGGAAAGAAAAATGCTCTACTTTCTTTTACACAAAAGGTAATTATTAACGTATTCATTCAATATTCAACAAATATTTCCTAAGCATCAACTGGGTAGTGGTTTAGATGAGGGTTACCCAAAGTCTCTGCAGCCTTATTAACACCGTGCAGTTCAATACTAATAATCAAAGCTGGGCCCCTCTCTTTTTCCTCCCCCTCCCTCCTCCCCCCTTCGTCCCCCCCCACCTCCACCCGCTCCCACACCCTCTCCCCTGATCCCCCTCCCCTCTCCCCTCCCCCTTCCCTCTTCCCCCCTCCCTCTCCTTTCCACTTCTTCCTCCTCTTCCTCCTCTTTCTTGTCTTCTTCCTTCCCCTATTTTCCCCTCTCCTGCCCCATTTCTTGGTCACTGGCATAGGGACACGGATTGAGCCCACAATCCTTCCCAATGACCACATAGTTCTCGATCCCTGAGGGGAGTCTCCATTTTCACTGATCCATCATACCTCAAACATCACTATTTTGGGCATTCTCATACAAACACATCTTCTCAACCCATTTCTTTTTTCCTTTCTGTATTCAGAATCTTTTTCAGTTGCCCGCAAAACGGCCACCTTTCTCTTTCTCATTTCCAGTTCCTTCTGGTTGTATTTCTAAGTGAAGTAGCTGACAGGCATTACAGTAATATTACTTTACTGAAGTGTATATCATGGCAAAGAAAAGCTTTACATTTCAGAAGACTAAAACCAGACACTTGACCTAAGGCCATCAACCTGTAAACCCCTTAAAACAATCCAGAACCCTACTTCATAAGATCTATAAAAATCACCATCTACCTCTGTAATCTCTCTAATTACATCTGCATTCCTTCAAAACCTACCATTCAAAATAAGGTTCACCGAGTCAACGTTGTTTCCTGCCAACTTAACCACTTGTCTGGCATTTTCAACCGTTTTGTTTTCCTCTGTGTTTTCATTTCAAATATCAGCGCTGTCGACTATACTAAAGCATACTGCAAGGTACAAAATGAGCCCCTGACCAAGCAGACCGGCTCGAGAGAGATTTTTGTTGGCTGGCCATCATGGTAGGTGGTCCTCACCACTTGCTGTACTGATTCTACAGAAAATTGTGTTTGCTTCCACTCAATCCCTAAACAAACACATAAAGTTGTCACTGTGCATATATATATATTTATATAAATATATGTATCTATATATATATATTTTAAGGTGCACCATTTGGAGCAAGACTTTAAGAAATGTATGTACTTCTGTTTCATTTAGTATCTTTTCCTCATTAATCTATAACAGGTGAAAAAGACTCCCTAACGTAGCCTTGACCAACCCTTTGGCCCAAATGGATTTTCCTTGCCCTGAATTTGGCACGGCATCCAGGCTTGTCCCATGTTCAATGACAACTCACTAACAAACTCTATCAAGAGTCAAAGTTTTAGTGTTGTGTTTTTTTTTTTTTTCTGCCCCTGGGTTTAACAGTGATTCTTTTTATGACTGCAGACTCTGAGCAGGGCAGAGATATTCTTACTATGTTATTACTCAGGGCTTCTCTTTTTCAATGAGGGAGAAGCTGGCTTTCTGTTTCTTTGTGGCTTGGCAAAAACCGGGAAGGGATTTTTAAAACAAAATCTCTGCCTATCAGAATTGCGAATCCCCTTAAATGGTTTTTCCTCTCGGGGATTTTCTTGGCAGCTAACTTCTAATTTTGACTGTTTTCTCTTTAGGTAGAGAAATCCTCCAGCTTTTCCAACTGATCTTTATGCATTTGGTTGCCTTGAAAAATATTAACAAGCCCTTAATATTTGTGTGTGTGCATCTGTGTATCATCTACCAATGTTATCAAAGACATCTTGCTCTTAAATTAAACATAGCCCTTTCCCCAAGAACATTTTCTAAAGCATTTATACAAAAGTCACTCTAGTTTTGTTTTTTGGGTTTTTTTTTTCAGATTAAAATAGATTTACAAGGCCTTAGAAACAGAATGCAAAATGGTTTATGAGAACCTGGCTTATGAAGAAGGAGACCTCATGGAAAGCTCCAGCTGAGCCCTTGCAAAGAATTACCCATCCTCAGAGCTCACATTTGCTCTCTCCTTAGAGCAGAACTCTTGAAGAAATGTCCAGCTGAGTAGCCCTGTTCAAACAACCCCTTCGGAAGGACCCAAATGCTGGAGGCCTGGCAAGACTTCCAGAGTTCCATCCCAAGGGTAGCAAGACCACATCTAGCTTTCCACTACTCCCACCCTGCTCATTTCTAACCTGTGGGCACTTTCTCCAAAGAGAATGCACAGCCTGGAGGGGAGCCCAGCAGGCCTCCCTCGAAGAAAGATGGCTTCCAACCACCAATCAGGTCATTACAAGAGGTTCATTGTTTTTGCAGGGGCATCAGTTGAAATTCCATCAAGAAGAAAACTGCAAAATGGAGTTCTCCCAAGTCATGGCCTTCCTTGTGCAGCCTCGGTTGCCACATTTTTGAGGATCCTCAGTCCTTGCAGGGGCCTTTCTGATGGTGGCCAGACTTTCACTTGCTTTCCACATGGTGAACCCACCTTTGGTCACCCGCTGCTCTTTTCAATCCAGTTCATTATATGACTGTGACCACTTCTCTGTCTCCCATTGGGTCCTGGTGCTCAAGTATGTTCTGAACTGACCCAGTGACCCAACTGCATCACTCACTCCCCTGTGGTTAGACAGAAGAATATCAGAGCTTCTACAAAGAGGATACATAGCTCGTGTCCTGAAATACCTTTTAAACTACTTTTCAAACTATGGTTTAAGAATACAAACATACTGATTTAGATTAGTTACCAAATTCTAACTCTGAACAGATCTGGGCTGCCCTGTGAATGGCTGGATTTTGCAGAAGCTTCAGGATGGAGCTTTTCCTGACTTCTTTGACTCTTTGTGACACACTTGTGAATGACATTAATGAAGAAGGTTGTAGCTCTGCACGGGTCTTTGGATTTCAGGCCTGCACATGTCTGTTCATGTAAAATTATACAAGCAACTACAGACTAAAGCTCACACACACACACACACACACACACACACACACACATATAAACACACACACTACACTCTATTAAATGCCAGGCGTTGGCCTAAGAGCATCTGCCCAGCAAATCCTCTAGCTCTCTAGTTGGGCAATCATATGTGGCACCACCATAATAACATATTATAGACCATTTTATTTTTTATTGTAAGCTCTAAGCATTTAGGACTAATGTATAGTATAAGAAAAAAAGTACAAGATATCCTTAGTGACTCAACTTTTAAACAAAACCTTCTTCCTTCCCTGCTTTCTAGATTCTGAGTCTATTTAGAGAGTCTCTTGAGATAGCAAGACGAAGTTCCTCAAGGAACCGCAATTGCTTACCTGTAGGGATCAAGATTCTTTTAATACTACGCAGCCAAGACAAGCACAGAACAATCCAGATGCTGAGGCTGATATATGAGCTATCATCCATAAATCCTGATTTTAAAAGTTGGTGTTTATCAAAACAGACCCATTGAGCTCATAATGTGTAAATGTTACAGATTCAAACTTAGGAAATAAATTTATCTTGATAAAATACTGCCATTGACCATTTTGTATATTGAGTTTTTACATAGCATTTGGACTGATGAATTTTTAAAAGGGTCCATCAGCACAGAGAAAAGTTTGGGGGCAACTGGGTGGCTCAGTCAGTTAAGTGCCTGCCTTCGGCTCAGGTCATGATCCTGAGGTCCTGGGATTGAGTCCCACATCAGGCTCCCTGCTCAGTGGGGAGTCTGCTTCTCCCTCTACCTCTCCCCCAGCTCGTGCTCTCTTGCACGCTCTCTCAAATAAATAAAAATAAAATAAAATTTAACAAAATAAAAAATTTTTTTAAATTAAAAAAAAAAAGTTTGAAAACAGCCTCGGTGGCACGGACAACAGTTCCAGAGCACTAAGCTCTCTTCCCGACCCCACACTCAAGCAATGTGCATCCAGGAGTTGGCTGCATGGTCCTCTTATGCATGAAACAGAGATACTGCTACTTGTTCTATTTACCTCGCCTGGTTGATATCAGGATCAAATAAAAAAATGCAGGTGTAGGTCAAGATGTTCTGAGCAGAAGGAACCAGAGAGGTCACTTTTTAAGCACACTAGGTCAATTAAGTCAAGATCGGTACTGATGCAGCCAGAGGACACAAACTATCTGAAGTTCTCCAGGTAATTCTAGTGTGCAGCCAGGATAAATATCCACAGATCCAGGAACATCTTTACTCAAAAACAAAAATCTGAATCCTGGAGGTCTCCTGGGAAATAGCAGACCACAGGGTAGCAGCCAAGCCTCTTGGACCTCAGTCCGAGCCCCTCTTCCTGCAGCACACAGCTCCCTAGGCCTCAGCGGTCCCTGTGAAGAGCAAACTCACCACACATATGTACGGAGTATATCAAAGAGATCACTGACATGCAGACCCATGAGGCTAGTTACTATAAAGACTATACAGTAAAAGGCAAATATCGAATTTCCTATTTTCCTGTTTTCATTTTTAAAAGGTTCTCCACTTACCTGAGAGACCCCATGAAATGAGAAAACATGATGCTGGGCGTCCGGGAAGAGGCAAGGGCTCCTCTAAGATGTTACCAAGTTTCCGCAGATGGGAGTGGTGTCCAGCTCCTGTAGAAGGAACAACAATACTATTTTCAGCATCATTTGCTTAGGAAGATCCTAGAGCCTAAGTGGGCCGATAAAACCAGAAGCGAGCAAATGGAAGACATTAAAACAAAAATGCCACAGCCCAGTTGTGGTTACAAGATTTCCCAATCGAAATCTGATTATGTATGCACATGAGGTAACAAATTTATGGGACATTCATCACAGGGATTGATCCATAAAAGATGTTCAATAAATTACTATTAGTACGATTATCTCAGAGTCCGGCTAATAGAGTTGGCATTGGGGCTAAAGATGGCGTTGGAAATCTAGCTCCCTCTATTAAAGGCCACGTGACCATAGGAAAGTCATTTCACCTCTGTGTGTCTTGGTTTCCCCAACTGTACCCTAGAGCTAAAAATACTGCCTAACAATAAAAAGAAACAGACTGATACATGCTACAGTGTGACAAACCTTGAAGACATTACCCTAAGTGAAAGAAGCCAGCCACAAGAGGCTACATATTGCAGGATTCCATTTATAGGAAATGTTCGGAACAAGCAAATCTATAGAGACAAAAAACACATTAGTGGTTGCCAGGGTCAGGAAGGTGGGGAGGAGCTAACGGGAGGTACAAGGCTTCCTCCTGGGGTGACAAAAATGTTCTCCAATTACACTGTTGTGACGGCCACACAATCCTATGAATGTATTAACAACCATTTAATCGTAGATGTTAAATTGGTGAAGGGTATGCTATGTAAATTATATCTCAATGACACTGCTTAAAAACGAGGCCTGAAGAACTGCCACAGGTGGTGGGGAATTGGTGAGCAGACGCCCGTGCTGTGCTCAGCCCAGTGCCAGGCACCGAGTGACATCCGTCCCCAAGTCGCTCTGCTGATATCGATGTAAGAGGTCAAGCGACACTTCAAATGTGTGATCACGGTAAAAACAGGACGGCAGAACCCCTCACCGACAAATACCCCTTTACTCAGAAGCCTTTACTAAACAGAATGCCTGAACACTGTCAAATGAGCCAACAGTTTCAAAGGTAAATTATAAACAGCATCAGAAAGCCTGGGATGGGAGGAGAGGCTTGGTTGGAATGTAATAGAACTCGGGCAGAAAACCTATGGCCCAGCCTCCCCTCCTCCTGCACCTCCTTTCAGGGAAAGGCATCTAAATGAAGCAAGGTTTCAAGGCGTGCCCCAGGGTCCTCTCCAATAAAGCCAGTTTTCCAAAATCACTGGTTTCCACATTCTTCCCAGGACTTCAAATTTCCTTCCTACTAGAAAGGGAGTAGGGTGTGGAGGGGAGGGGGAGATAAATTATAAGGACTTAAGGAAAGACAGTAATGAGAATCAGAACATTCCATTTCCAGGAAAAAAATAATCAAGATTTTAAAAGTTACCACCAGCCCTTTCTGGGGGCTATTAAGAAAGTAAAGCCTCTTAACTGTAATCACCCCTAATTAGCCATCAGCAACTCATGAAATTACTCATGGCATTGAAGACCCTCAAAGTCTTGGGTCTCAGCCAGAAGTTACACTGAGATCCACCAGGAAGAAGGCCAACAAGTGTAAATTGAAACAGTTATAACTCCTCTGAATCCAAGGCATTGTCTTGCTCTTGGCTAGGCAGTGGGTATATGCGAAGATAGGATTTGACTCGGGAGGAGGGCAAAATCTTTGCCGAGCTCCTAGTAATAATCAACTCATCAATAATTATTTACTTATTATGAGATTCGAGGAAAGGACAAGTCAGTGCTGGGTCTGGCTTTATAATCTAGCTTTGGTGGATAAGATTTAGGGACATGGAATTGTCTGAGAAAAGGACAGTGTCATCTAGGACGGCATAGGGTAAAGAGTGTTATACAGAGACCCCACGCACAAATCAAGCTAGTTCAAAAGAAGAACCACTATAGAGGGCTGGTCAGACATCAGCAAGGAAGATGGGACGTAAAATCAGCCTTTAGTACATGCAGGTTATGAAGGAACAAACCCGAGCATCTGGTAAAAGTGTACACACTGTAACCCGCACAACCTAGGTGTGAGACCAACATGCTCATTCATGAACCAGCTGACCTTTGGCATTACCACTCTTGTCTCTCAATTTCCTCATCTGTAAAGTGGGGATCCTGTTTGGAGCTACCCACAGGGTTGTTCTGAGTATTAAATATTTGTTAAGATTGCACGAACTGGGTGCTAGACACACACACACACGGCCCCACAGCCATGGTCCCTGTCCCCAGGGAACTTTAAGTCTAGACGCTGGAGGACTATACACTTTAAACAAACTGAAACAGAAGTAAAAAGACAATTGTGATAAGCACCAGGAAGCAAGTCTAAGGTGCCTCAGAAAGTATACCGGGCAGTGGTCAGGGAAGGGTCCCTCTGAGGAAGTGACCGTTATCCTGGGGTTTGATGGGTAAGCAGGTGTCAGTCAGGTGCGGAGGGGGACATCGCAGGAGGAGGGAGCCCCGGGTGCACAGGCGTGGGAGGAACTGGGAGGAAGAAGGAAGCAGTGTGGCACAACATGGCAATGGAAGGTGAATGTGGGAGGACCTGACCCTCTATCGAGAGCTATAAATCCCCAGGATGGGGTAAATGAATGGCTGAGGGCATGAGGGGAAGAGAAGTGCTAGTGATGGCTCCCCCCAGATTTCCGGTGGGTGGAAGTAGCAAAACAAGGTACCACCTGAGGTTTTCTGGCTTTGTCAGGGAAGGAAGGGCAATGTGGAAGAAAGGAGGTGTGCTGCAAAGCAATGGTTTCCAAATCTGACAAGAAGTCAACCAGAAAAACAGCTTACATTATCAACACAATTTGAAAGATTTATAGCCACTGCTAAGAACCATGGACCCCATCCTCTCTGTGCATTTTGCCTTCAGATATTTGCTGATAATAGAATGAAGCCACCATGATTAGCGCATCATCTTAAAATAGCGTTTCTTTCATCTTTATCTTATGCTTTTATTTTGAGAGAGAGCATGCGCGAGCGGGGGGGGGGGGGCGCGAGGGAGAAAGAGAGAATCCCAAGCAGACTCCACACCCAGCATGAAGCCAAATGTGGGGCCCCATCTCACAATCCTGAGATCATGACCTGAGCCGAAATCGAGTCAGAAACTTAACCGGCTGAGCCACTCAGGCGTCCCAATCTCATCCTTTGAAGATGTGTATTTGGTGTGTATGTTTTATGTAGTCACATCACACATTGGTTAAAAAAGGATAACCAAACAGTACACGGGACTTATATGTGTAAACATTTTTTACTGATGGAGGGTGCAATGAAAACAACTTTTTGGAGGCCACTAGCCTAGAATGTTTTTTGACCAACTTCTTAATCAGACTTGATTCACTACTTTTATCTCACGATATGGTTGATGAGCTTGTCCGGAAGAGCTGGGAGCAGCTCAGCTATTTCCTGCTGTTCACTTGTGCGTCCATGATTACTATTGTGCTAAATCAGTTCCGCTTTTCAAACTGTGGGTCACAACCCCTTAGTCTGTCATGGAATCAATTTTGTGGGTCATGACCTGCACTTTTTTTTTTTTAACAATTTATTTATTTATTTTAGGGGCGTGAGGAGCAGAGGGAGAGAGAGAATCTCAAGCAGACTCCCTGCCAAGGGGGGAGCCCAACCCAAGGTTCGATCTCACAACCCTGAGATCACAATCCAAGCCAAAATCAAGAGTCTGAGGCTTAACCAAATGAGCTACCCAGGTGCCCCATAACCTGCACTTTTTAAGATGAAAGAGAAAAGAACGAAAGAGCAGAGAAATGCACTGGTGTCCGTCGCACACAGGGAGGGTAACCATGTCTCGCTACGGCTCACGGAATTGTTTGAATGCCCTTGCTCAGGAAGACCAGAAGGCACGGCAGGGTTCTACCTGACCAGGGGGAATAAAATCATGAAGATGAGGCAAAGCCACATTATCCAAACCCCTGAAAAGCCGCACCAGCAGAATTTTGATGAGAGGCCAAGAAAGAGCCGTTGTAGATTCTGGACCAGGGAGGTTTGATGAAAGCGAGGTTTCCCGAAAATTCGTCTGGCAATACTGTGCCGAGCTAGCGAGCTGAGTAAACATGCTATCTGTGGAGCCCATTCTGCTTTTTGAGGTTTGCTTCTGTTGATTTATAACTTTTCTTGACAGTGATCAAAAAATCCAACAATCTAGTTTCTGTTAGGACATATGCTCCCTGGGGGATGGAGGCCCGACCCTGTCTTCCTTTCCACAAAAATCCTGCAGGAAGGCTGAACAGTCGCCTGGTTCGGGTCAGGCTCACGGCACAGTCCCCACACACCAGGAGGAAGAGGCAGGGGGTTCCAAGGCCCAGTATGGTGGAGACGGAAAGGGGAGCCATGACAGGTCTAACCCAGGGCAGAAAATGCCTCCCAACCCCAGAAGAGGCCACTGTGCCCTGAACAGTGGCGCTATCCTGCTGCCTCTTCCCCACAGGCCCACCTCTGAGGATCGTTCCTGCCCCTTCTCCTCATGGCCTGACCAGAACTCCTGGAAAAACCCACCCGATTTCCGCGTACCCCGGAAGTGAAGGATCTGCTCAGCTTCTTGTGTGTGGGTTCCGAGAGGCCACACCCCAGGTCCAGGGGTCCAGTTCCACCTCCCCGCCTTCCCCCCACACTCGGGCTTCTCCCTCTGGAACTCCCATAATGTAAAGCAACCACCCGCTTAGACAAAAGCCACACTCCCTGGGGCAGTGGACAGGATGCACTGCCACAAGAATGAGGACCAGAGATTTTAGGAGGCAGTTCCAGACCCCAGATCAGCTCCCAGTACCATGTGTTGGGGGCAAGTCTCAGAACCTGCCCTTTCCTTTATGAAAGCCACCCCCTTGAAGGTCCTGACAGAACGAGAGCCTCCACACCGGGCCTACGTTCCACCCTATCCTGTCTTTACCAACATCACCAACACCTCTTCT